CGGCAATCCACAGAGTCAGTCAGAGTCAGAAGAAGAAGAACAGGTGTGTACGTTAGTATCACCAGCTGGAGTTCGTCAACATGATAGCTTTCGTTTCAGGATCCTGTTGCTGCCGCTCGCCTGAAGTATGCGAAGGAAGATAAGAGATTTGGCTCAGAAACGTTTACTGAGACAGACAAGCCGAAAACATGGCATGTAAGTTGAGGTATTCCTCTGCAGCCAGGGATCACAACATTCCAGAGCAGCACAAGCTGGCTCGACCGCGAACTCTTCACTTTATCAAGAAATGCTCCGCAAACTCGTTACAAGGCTTATCACAGATATCACGTTACCAGGAAGATCAACAAGATAGAGATTCAGTTTGTAACATAGTCGGGCACAAGGTGTAGCAGTCGTAGAGAGGGCTCACGATCATGAGGCGCCATCGACATCACCGTGCGCTACACGATCCCTTCCGCCGCACCCATAGAGCTTAGGCAGCGTTCAGAGTTGGCGGTCATACGTGCAATCAGGCGATTAGGCGATTAGGCGACTAGGCGATTAGGCGAGTAGGCGAGTAGGCGACAACGAAAGGGTACGTATCGACTGGTTCGCTCCGCCCACTGAGCGATCGTCTACTCGCCTAATTACTTTATCGCGTAACCGGTACGCCCTTTTCCTTATATCGAATGAATCAACCAATCGCTTTACGATCACCAACTCTGAACGCAGTCTTATGCAGTCGCACGCGTCAATGATGACTCAATGCAGTACTGTGTACGCAGTGCTGTATAATGCGTTCTAACCCACAGCATCGAACCTATCTATGATTGGAGAATGAACCGATGAATTGATTAATTGCCGCATTTCGTGGTCGTGCAACGTGCTCGACCACGAATTGCGGCAACTAGGACGAGTTGGGCATGTGGTGATCGCGGCAACCTGTTGGAAAGGCGCTAAAAGTGGTTTCTCCTGTGCCAGCTGGCGCGACTGTAACAGCTCGCGTTCTCTCTGCGTCTGCGCTCTCGCCTGCGCCTGTACTCCTACTATGTCAACGTCTGCGCTCTCTTTGAAATCTACAATTTCGCCGTGTCCGTACTCCCTTCTGGGTCTAGGCACTCATGACCTCGGGGAAGGGACATTCAAAACAGGGCCAATAGTTCGTGACAGTAGGGCTAAGCTCAGGAGAGGGGAGGGACGCTAGAGACAACACAAACGGCTCACATGCCCCATGAGCCCTTTCCCTACTAGAGACAACACAAACGGCTCACATGCCCCATGAGTCCCTTTCCCTCCTAGAGACAACACAAACGGCTCACATGCCCCCTGAGTCCCTTTTCCCTCCCTAAGGCTTATCGTTATTCCAAAGTGCTACAAGTGTACCATTCAGCTGAATATTCCCTCCTCCCCTTTCCCCCCCCCCCCCCGAGGAAACGAGCGCTTGGATCGATGTGCTACCTACAATATCTATTAGGTGGTCCATAAGTCTTGCAACAAATTACATTTAATGCTATAGAAATTTTTGAGAACTCCGAAATTCCGCAACATGTTTGCTGACGTAGCATCCACTTTGCAATTTCAGCCAACCGTCCAGCTCGCTGCTTGTTATGGATATTACACCGATTTCGCGAAAAGCTCTTCGTGCCCTTAATTTTTACGAGTACTGCTTGGAATGTTCCGCAAGTCATGCTACACCAAGGATTAGCCAGAAGATGGGCGAGGGCACGCTCTCTCAATTCACGGTGCACCGGCGCTTCACTCTGCTCAGCGTTGACTTTTTTATTTGAAGATGATCCACACTCCAACCACCCCGTGACTGACAATCACGATGCTCTACCTGACGCTGTTGAAAAGGGATCTGGATAGACTATCGATCATTTGCTAGAGCAATTCTGATGCGACAAGGAGACAGCACTGTGGCATCTCCAAAGACTTGTGAAGATCCGAAAATATAGAGTTTGGTCCCCACATGCCTTGAGCCCGATTCAGCTCCAAACACGATCTGACATCGTTATGTTCAAGTCGACTTACTATGGATTCTACGATTGACCATCCATCACATTTGCCGAAGATGAGGAGTGGTACAGTGTGCTAACAAATGAACAAGCGGCGGTAGTCCAGCTCAAACGCTTCGGGAGTTCTTACTGCTTAAGTTCAACCTCGTCCAAGTAGGGCCTTCTCGGATTTTTGGTGGAACACGAGAGGAGTTAAGCTCTGGAAACCCCTACGTGTAGATGTCGCAGTCAACGCGAAAGTCAACTATCCACAGCTCGAATGCAACGCTTTTAATACGAAAGAAAAACAAGGCAAAGTTTGCTTTTGTATGACACCGTTGAACCACCTCTTGCTAAGAAAATCCAGGAAAATTTTGGGACTCTCGGACGGAGAGTTCTTTTATATCCACCTTATAGCCCTGACCTCGTGCTACCAGATGCCCACCTGATTCTCTCTCGAGGCCACGTTCTAGAGAAGAAAACTCACTCCAATCATCATAATGTCAAAATCGACATCCAATCTTTCTTCGATCAGCATTCAACGGAGTTGTATAGGAGAGGCATCAAACAGATTCTATGTATTGCATTGATAATAGGTGCATATTATGCTGGATGAATGGAACAAAAAGATAATGAAAATATCAAAATCAAAATTCAGCCAGTTTGTTGCAAGACTTATGGACCATCCTTATAGTATGGACAGAACGCATAATTGATCGGGGAGGTGTACAATCCTGTGGTAGCGCAGTTGTGGGCCTCTAGCTGTAGCGTAACATTTTATCCTTTGAAATCATAAGACATTTCAGTCAGCCAAGATGTTGTTGCCCGGCCCAAACAGCGTTGGGAAAATATTGTGCGAGAAACTTTCTAGTCAATTTAGATGTACTGTTTCAGGTACTTCTTCGAGTGATTGAGGGCAGAGATCTCAAGACAGGTGCGATGCGTGTGCGTGCGTATCTGGAAGGTTCACAAAAGTGTACTCGTGTTTCTGCATCAGAAACACCTATTTGGAAACAGAATCTCGTATTCATGCTCAAGGATATAAGTCTACAGAATCTGGCGACGCAACATCTCCACATCAAAGTAACCCCTGCGCCTTCTTGTTCTTTCCGTCAAAAAGAGAGAATGTGAAATACTTCAGGTGACTAGAGCTAAACGGTTCTCTGAAAAAGTGAAAGGCGAATTTTGCTGTCCAATGGCTGCCGTAATTCATTCGTCTAACAAAGCCGTTATCTCGAAATGGATTGCACTTTCTGCGCCATTCGACGAGGAAGATGCCGAGGGTGTGCACGAGAATGTTGGATTCCTCAAGGTCGTTTATTTTGGAAACAACGCAGGTACCAGTAAGTCCACAACTACTATGCACTTCAGATTTCCATCGCTGTATTCTCCATGACGGATAGCCCACCTAGAATGAACGACAATATCGACAGTGAACAGATCTGGAGCGGAGCTCAACTCGAAGAGTTGTCTTTACGGGTGAGAGACACTCATCTTGATTTTGGTCGCCCTCTTCACCCCAGACTGATTCTCCTCAAGCATGTAAGAGTCGCACGATTCGCTGCCTTCGTCAGACGCCGCCTTTCTGCTCTGTCCAGGGCATCTCCGACCGTGGCCGTGACCTCACTTAGGTCCTTCTTGATTACGTCTCTCCACCTCTTCTTTGGGGCTCCTCGCGGTCGCTTGCCTTGCACTTCGAAGTCCATCGCTGTTCTTATCGGATGGTCCTGTGGCCTCCTTAGCACATGCCCATACCATCGCAGACGCTTCCCTCACCTTCAGCTGGACAGGGGCAGTCTGCATGACCGCTCTGACATCCTCGTTTCTACCCTGTCCAGTCGCGTCCAGCCGCAGGCCCATCTCAGCATCCTCATTTCAGCGGAGTGAAGCTGCCTTTCGTGATTCTTGTTCAGGGGCCAGCACTCGCTGCCGTAGAGCATCGCAGGCCTTACCACTGTCCGGTACACCTTCCCTTTGAGCGTTCTGGAGCACCTTCGATCGCAGAGGATTCCAGTGGACTCCCTCCATTTCATCCATGCCGCGTTGACCGTGCCTTCACTGCCTGATCCACACTACCGTCGGCTGCCAGATCGCTCCCAAGGTATCGGAAGTCCTCCACTCTTTCGATGGTCTCACCATGGCCGTCCACGATCGGCTCTGCACCCTCTTCGGAGCTCAGGAACTTGGTCTTCTTGACATTCAGCCGGAGCCCACCTTCTGCCAGGACTTCCTGCCATTTCTGCACCTTGGCCTGTAGTTCCTCTCTGCTATCCGCTATCAGGGCGATGTCGTCAGCGTAGAGGATGGTCTTCAGTGGTCCTTCCATGAGGCCCTTCACCATGGCATCTAGTGTTAGGAGGAACAGGAAGGGGCTCAGAGCTGACCCTTGATGCACCCCAACCGTGATGTTTACCTCCTTTGTTAGGCCGTGTGGGGTGCGTATGGCTGCCTTAGCCCCCCCGTACATCGTACATGTCCAGAGAGATCAGGTGTTCTGGCACGTTCCGTTCCCTGAGCGCTCTCCATAGTACTGCTCGCGGTAGCCGGTCGAACGCCTTCTCCAGGTCGAGGAAGGCTAGGTAGCAGGGTCGGCGCTTTTCTCGATACTTCTCCATCACTTGCCTTGCGATGAAGATGGCATCCGTTGTAGACCTTTCGGGCATGAACCCGAACTGTTCCTGGGAGATCGGGACCAGCTCCCGCAGTTTCGAGTCGACCAGTCGCTCGTACAGCTTCATGGTATGCGCAGTCAACTTGATCCCGCGGTAGTTGGAGCAGTCCATCGCGTCACCCTTCTGCTTGAAGATGGGGACGATAGTGCTTGTTCTCCAGGCATCCGGCATCCTTCCTTCGGCAGTCCGTGTTCAGGAAGCGGGTGAGCCACCTTATCCCGTGCTCTCCAAGCGCCTTCCAAGCCTCTATGGGTACTCCATCTGGACCTGCCTTTCCAACCTTCATCTTCCCAAGTGCACACCGAACCTCATCCTCTGTCCAGAGTGCGATGGGACCAGCTGTGGCCTCTGCCCGTGAGTTGTTCTTGTGGGAGAACTCCTCGTTCAGAAGACCTCTGAAGTACTCTTCCCACCTCCTCCGAACTTCGGCTGGCTTCCTCAGGATGGCGCCGTTGCTGCTCTTCACACTCTTCACCACCCTGATGTCTTGAGTAGCCCGATGCCGGGCTTTGGCCAGTCTGAAGACGAACTTCTCTGCGTTTCTGCTTTCCAACTTCTCGTACAAGGCGTCCATCTCCGTGTTCTTCGCCTTGGCGACGGCAGCCTTAGCGAGCCTCTTGCAACTCTTGTAGGCAGCGAGGTCCTCGGGGCTCCGGGTCTTCTGCCAGCGCTTGTATGCTTCCTTCTTCTGCTTCACGACTCGCTGGACCTCCTCGTTCCAGAACCACGCTGCCTTGTCTCCTCTGAATCCACCTCGCGTCTCGCCCAGTACCTCCTTGGCGCATCGTAGGATGATCTCAGCTGCATTGCCCCAAGTCTGCTGCACTGGTCCCTCAGGATCTGGGAGACCAACTTCCATTATCCTTCGTTTGAGGTCGCTCTTCTCTGCTTGGTGCAACTTCCACCACCGGATTCTCCTCTCGGTTCTTACCCTTGTCTTCTTGGGGAGGTCTATGGCTATGTCTGCCAGGAGGGGCCTGTGCTGAGGAGCCAGGGAGTTCCTTGATATCCTTCACAGTTCTGAGGGATGATCTTCTTACCAGCACATGGTCGATTTCCGTCTGTCTCCCTCCACTGCTGTAGGTTACCTTCTGAGTCTCCCTTTTCGCGAAGAACGTGCTGCAGATTGCCAGATCGTGGGCCGTAGCCAGGTCCAGGACCCTCTCTCCCTCGGCGTTCCTCATCCCTCTACCTCCGTGCACCCTTTCCAGGCCTCTTCTGTCACTGCCGACGTGACCATTCAGATCACCTGCTATGGTGAGGTAATCGCCTTCCGGAATCGATCTGATGGCATCATCAAGGCTGAGATAAAACAGCAACTTCTCGGGACTTCCCAGTCAGCCATTCAACGTTCAGAGTCCCTATTCGCTCCGTCTTCCCCAATTGTTGAAAGCCATGAGGAATACCGTGCTATTTTGCAGTAAAGACTGATTTCGTACCACAAACAGCTCTTTTCGGGCGCATCTTCTCAGAATGACCGACACCAGTAAATTATTCTTCGATGATTCTTCGATTTAGGTGAGGCTTTTTCGACTTCATCAGCTTGCCGATGAAATACATCAAGAGGTTGCGAACAACAAGGGAAAGCCACTTAAATTCGCTATTGGGGTGAGTTTCTGGTCCTTCTGCAACACTGGCAGTAGGGCGCTCTGTGGACCTTGAGGTTAAGGTCTCACTGGGCGCTGAAACAGCTGAAACTAGCGCTGAGGAGAAGACAATGTATAACATGGGCGAAATCGTAACCGATGCGGTCAGTTTCAACCAGGATCTTCTCTTACCCATGCTATGGCCAACCGTTATCTCCAAGGTGATCCTTTCTGCATATGGTTAGTTTCGCGGAAGTTTTCAAGCAGGATTTGTTACAGATTATCTTCCGTCTGTACATGAGCAAAGGACGCGCTCGTAAATGCCTTGGGCAGGTACCCTAACATCTTCTCCCTCTTTCGATATTCTTTAAATGTTGTATTTGAGGCTTCAATACCAATGAGATTGATTTATGAGCCAGGCAACAAGGGTTTCATGCCGACGTATGGACCATGTTTCCTTAATTTCTTCGGATACGAGAAACTGCAGAGGTTTAAGTTGAGGAAAGGAAAGGAGAAGAGTACAGTGGAGGAAGGAGGCAGCAAGTAGGTTTTACATGCAGTCAAAGGAGAATTGAAGTGACAGGCACAAAGGTATGTCGAGCCGGGATCATAAGCGGAATTAAAGGCACTAGTCGGGATCGAATTGGTGCATTGTTTTGTTTGAAAATTGGGCAAAAAGTGCAAAGAGGAGCATTAGTGGGGAGAAAAAGCAAAAAGTACAAAAAGAACATAATATTTCTTGTCGTGGTATGACGGAGAGAGCGCTGCGAGGAGAGGGACAACACGAGAGAGGTCGTCGTACGCGAGAGAGCGCAGACTACACTTGCCGCGTTTGATAGCAGCACACAATGCGAGGTCCCCCTTGAGCGTCACGACTCAAAAGTCGTGATAGTGTCGCCCCTCCTGCGTGGGGTCCCCTCGTTTTCTCACGAGGGAATTTTGTGTGTTGTCTCTAGTGGTAGTGGGAGCGGATATTAATAGTGTCTGAAATATCCATGTTGGAAAAGAATACAACATTTTTCCGGGAAGGATCCCTTCAATATCGGAGTATAATCAAATTTTGTCTCCGTTTGAATCAGCCAAAAAACGGTTCACATTGCTTCTGTGGCAGTTTTGCCGCCATTTCTTTAAGACTAAGCATGATGTGTATAGAATAGACACGTAAATGGGGATTTCGTTGACAACTTCCACACAGGACTGTAGCCACGATTGCTTCGTCTCGGTGGATTGTGTGGAATATGTCGGCGAGTCGGTTCAGCGCACTTTCATCGAGCATAGCGCACTTGTACATTCGAGAATTTTCGAGGTGAGCACTACTTCAAGCTTCAGCGCCATAGATTGAGAAGCAGCAGTCTAAAATCAACAACTCCAGATCAGAATTGGTGGGGTTAGCATCTTGACGCTTATCCTAGGGAGCTGTCTGAACTTGCTGTTCCATAGCTCCACTAACTTGCGCCCTCATCTGAACTAGCCACCACGTCGTAATCCACGTTGCGTGTCATGAGCTGTGCACGAGGTATCTCGACCATTAGCTCACATGAGCCCTCATTAGCTCATTTTGTAAGGCTCGCCAGGGTCGAGCACTTCAAGCCATAAGAACGGGATAAGTGTGATCCTCGCCGACAATCTGTTCTACCACAGAATAGAGTGTTCGACATCATCTCATTTGGGGCTGGTGCACTAAGTTCGAATCCTGTGCCTGCTTGATTGGATTACCTCATAATTCTCTTAGTGTTGTGAGATGCTTAAAGCAACAATCCAGGAACGAATTCGCGGGTAAGGACCACCTATAATGACGTTGCAGGTGAGAAGTTGGTCAATGGAGAAAGAAAAAGTAGAAAAAACGTCGGGCAGGGGCTTAGACAGGGACTCCCCCTGCCGTTTAGGGAGACGTGTGTTGGACGAGTTGTCCGAACCTGCCCGTAGTACATGCGCTCCAATTGCAACTGCTGGCAAATAGCCATGCATGCTTGCAAATACATAACTATTTGCCAGCAATCGAAATTGAAGCGCTTCAATTGCGTTCTTATGGAATCGACCTCATACAGCGCGGCGGTCCCGCAACGACCGCTAGTCGAGCAAGCGCTCTGCACAGCTGCTTGGAGGCGGCCCCACCACGGATCGGTGGATCCGCCCCTCTTGAAGGATTTCGACTGCTTCCAACGCCTTTCAGAGGTAAGTTTTGAAGTTTGTGACATTTCCCATGAACTCCAATCAGGCTGAGGCATGTTTCCACCACTTGAAAAAAACCAACATGCGTTGAAAAACCCTGCCTGCACTGTTAGCTTTCAAGCCTTCAATGAGATCACAGGCGAGAGCCGAGTCGAACTATGAAGCTGACCAAGCTAACGCTAGCGCATGCAGCCAATGAAGCTACACAATATTTTTTACGAAACCGTTTTTTCAGAAAAACTGCATCGCTATCGGTGTATTGAACTCGTTTCTGCAGTAATCTCAATACAAACACGTGCCTTCAGTGACCGATATCTCATTCTGTATATCCATGGCGAATACCGCTTAGCAACAGGAACACATCTTGGTCGAATCGGAATTCCGTACTTGCGGGTGAGTTTTCCAGATCATCGCCTTTCTCTTAGGCGCTAGTTCGCATGGACAAGTGCATTTATGCCTTATCTCTGATCACGTATGATAAGCGGAAAATTACTTTCTCCATGGTGGAGGAAACTCATAAACAGATGAGCTGACGTTCACCGATCTATGAGAGACTGTGACGCGGATAGAAGAAGCCAAATGCTATCATGAAAAAAAATGTAAGACGGCGCGAATATGGCGAAACGTGAGGAGAGATATGTTAGGAAGGGAGGAAGCAATAGAATAATTCCGGATTTACTGAAGAAGCGAACGAGCAGGCTATTCCATTTTTAGTCATTTCCTGCCAATTATTGCTCCTACAACTCTTCTCGAATATTCTTGCGGTCAAAGTTTCTATGAATTCCCATGGTAGGAGCAGCTTCATGATCCTTGATGATAAGTGCATAGCATCGTACAAACTTTTGTGACTCGTAAATCCAAACAATTGCTCGAGTTTCGATTCTCCCGCATCAACAGAAAGGCACAGCCAAAATTTCCTTTCTGTTCAAGGGTGGCAAATCATGTTGGATGAGTTGTGAAGCGGCAAGAAGGCTCGGCGATGGTAAAAACGACGAGGTGTCCTCATTGGCGATGGAAGCACTTGAACATATGCAAAGCATGTTGGACAGGCTACAGCACCATCATAAGTATGCTGATTCTTGAAGTATTCAGTGAGAATCGGAGATTTGTTAGATATGGAAACTGTGGATGTTGAAAGACGGGTCTGTTCCCCAGATGGGCTGAGCTACTAGTACACCATTTCACGGAGGTGCCTGCGCCTTTGTTTCAGTGAAGCAGTCATCTTTTCGGAGTTCCCATGTCTCTCTGAAGCGAGAGGTGTTCGAAGCGGCACCTACTGGCCAGCTATGGGAGAACGCCTCGCGTGAGCTTGAAAATTTAGATTCAAAGTCATGACGCCAGACCAAACGCAGGGGCGCTACTCTACAGAAGCTCTAATTTGAGAAGGACATGAGGCAGTCGCAAGATGGGCCACTCACCTTTAGCCAGTCCTGATCTTCGGACCAGCCACAAGCCAGCAATAGTGCCAGCTGCCGTCCGGACTCCTTCCAAATGAGTCACCACTGGAAGGCCAAGCTTATATGTATAAGGTCTCTACCCCCTCGTTAATACTTCTAACTTGTTAAGATCTTATATAAGGTTGACCTTCCAACAGTGACTCTCATCTGAATCCGGATTACAGCCGATAGTACTACTGGCTTAGGCTGGTCTAAATATCCAAACTGAATAACGGTGAGTGGTCGATCTTACGCCTGCCTGATATCCTATTCAGTTTTGAGCTTCTGTAGGGTAGTGGCGACGTTTGGCCAGATTGTCATGAGTTGAATCGACTTTTCAGGCTGCGACGAAGGCGATCCCGTCAGCCGATACGTTTGCCGATAGTGTTTCTCAACAGCCTCATGTATCAAAGAAGTGTGAACTAATAGTTACCTTTGGGGAGCCTCGTAGTCTGTCAAAAAAGAGGATAAGGGTGTCATAAGAGAACTGGCTGTGGATGCCAGCACTATTACGTTTTATAATCAGCAGTACATGTTTGAGCACGGATTCAGATCGGAGTATACAAAAAATGAGTTGGACACATGCTGGGAGAACGCTAGAAAAATGTGCATTGACAAAGTGAGTCTCCATTTATGAAATACTGTCTGGAAAAAGAGTTTGCTTGTCTAATTGTTATTAGCTTTCAAGCGAAGCCTTGCTAAGCTAGCAGGAGGGCAGCTGAACTTCAGCTAAATTTGGAGTTACTGAAACAATTTCAGAAGGGAAACGACCAGGGACCATAACCGCGGGCGCAAAGCCCCCCTACCGTAGCTCCTATGTTTTGGTAATTCGATTGACACGGTGCTGGACAGTCGGCTGCCCGGTCTTCACATAGGCCATATGGAGCCTTTTGCTTCTAAAGGTTGAGCCAACGCTGAACGTACAATCTATCGCCGGCTTTCCATCACACGTGTTTCCACTCTTGCCAAATATTATAAATTCCCGTCTATGTGAAATCACCTCATAGGTGGCCTCAGGTTCTGCCTGAATTCTTGATGGCCATGCTGCCAACGCAGGAGCAGCTAGGGGCGCCCGTTAGTTAAACACTACACAGCTCTCATTCGAATTTACAAACCGTCTCACTTGAGCTTACAAATCGCGCTACGACGCCAACAACTTCTACTCAGCCATTGGTTACTCCCATACTTTGGTCAAAGCTCTGCCGGCTCCTAAACGAATTCAAAGACACTTCTACAACCAACTGTAAAACAGCCTGCTTCATGTGTGAGGCAGATTGCCCACGACCGCAAAAGCCTCAAAAATATTTCGACAAAAGCATTAGTTTGGGTCGTATGCCAGGAACGCCCATTATAACAAAAGTTAGCGAATGCTGCATTGCAACAATGTCTGCGTCTCGCTCGTTTCTGTGCTCTCCTAATC